GGGATTACGATGAGTGGGCCGCCTTCCATCACTTCTCGGAGTAATAGAGCATAATTTGGTGTATATGAAGATGACTTTCTAGTCATATTTCTGTTGAGGACAGCGAGAATATTATTTCTACAAAAATCCCGAATTCAAAAGTTCAATTTTATCGAGAGAAAAGAAGCCACGAAAAAATCCGCAATAATTATGCATCAACCTAATATATGCTCAAGTTCAGAAGCTCGATTTTTCGAATTCAGTTCTCTCACTCCTTTTGTAAATACTACTCCTAACCCACTATTACGGAAATACGAACCTCCTGTCACAGTGCTGGCTCAGCCCCGATCCCTACACCCCTAGACTAGACGGAACATCGTTGCACTGTGAATTGACCGCGCCCTGAAGGCAGCTGCTGCCTATTTTTCATTTTGCAGTGCTTATGGTAGCAAGCTGCAGCTTTCGTAGTGATTTATCAACTACCGCACTCGACATATGTACAAACCATCGCTAACTTTGATTAAGCAAAGCAGCTTGCACAAAACCAACTTTTCGCTTTAACTCAAGGAACTTCTTCATTGATAAAACCGCTTTTATAGGAAGCTGCTACATAAACAGTTGTGATAAGGCAAGTTGAAATCAATAACAAACCTAACGTCCCTTTTTCGTGCCATTCCGCTTTAGAGCAGTTCATTTGAAGAATGATCATCGCTTATCGAGGCTCAATGTTTCATCATCTCCCCTTTGGGTTGGAGCGATGGCTCGGGCGCGATATGTAGTTGATTTTAAGGAAATAGCTATGCTCATGATCTGATGGCCCCTGGTCATTTGGTCCATGAGTATGTAACGGCAAAGAAGTTAGTAAAATAGAAAAATATAATAACTATCACTAAATTTTAGATGGAATAATGATTCTTCCCACCCGGCGGTGCAATCCGAGGGGGGTGTGTGTCAAGTCGTGCGTCCGAGGGTGCGGGCTGCAAATTGCGCGGCGAAGTTCGTGGCGAATTTGGACGGCCCCGGCGCCTATCATTGGGGCCCAAACCTGAAGTAAGGTAGATTAGTAAGGTCAGCTGATCCTACTAATCTACTGTACTTCGGAAATGGGCCCAAATAATATGCGCTAAAGTTGTCAGAACAGGTATGAATTTCGCCGCGCAATTTGCCGCACGCACCCTCGGACGTACGACTTGA